CCCGCCACCTCCAACATCCCGCCCCCCCCCACATTCCGCCCCCCCCACCATTCCGCCCCCTCCAACATCCCGCCCCGTCAATATCCCACCCCCTCCAATTCCTCTAATTTTTCACCCCCCCCCCTCCACAAAGCCCAAGCTGATCATCATCAATAAACGACCTGTGGGCTTATATAATAAAGGGATTGACTCTGTACACAATGTCACAGTTTAGTCTCGAAAGTGTGGGGGAGGGGGGGGCGGTGCAACGCACGGCCTGCGGGCCGCTGAAAAGTTTATTCCAGCACACAAGGGCTTCAGGGAATTGGATTATTTTTTTTCCTTTAAATGGACAAATTGTGAATGATTGTCTGTTAAAGCCTTTTGGAATTAATGATCACAGTGTCAAACCTTACATAACAATAATCATGGCAAATATTAAAATTATTCGACTGCTTATTTTGGAATTGAAACTTCTCAAGTCCATTTTCAATCAAGCAAATTAAAACTAGAACTCTAAAAAATTAATTAGTTTCCATGCTGTCCTCTGCACACACACAAAAAATGGCTGCTCACCCCTCGTTCAGACTTTCAAGAATTTCATCCCAATATTTGATTTGACCAGAGGGGTTGAAAGTAGATTTGTAACATATACACCAGTCAGTGAAAGCCTCACTAATAAACTTATCATCCTGACAGATATCGTATCTGATTTATATATATTTCTTATATATATTTCGCTTCTGGTATGGCTGCTTCCTTTTCACAAACGACCCTCCGTTACTCAACTTGTTTTATATTAATATCACAAGCTGTCAAGCAGCGAGCGTCATGCGTGACGGTTGAACAAAGATAAGAAGGTTGGATTTGTTCGGAGGCGACTATTATATAAATTATTAATCAATAAAGAGCCACGGGCATGGTGTAGGACCGTCTGAAGGACTGTCCGTTGGTCTATTGCTTAAAGGTCGGCAGGCAGAGTGTAGGACTGTTGTTTAAGGGCCGGCAGGAGGGTGTAGGACTATTGTTTAAAGGCTGGCAGGCAGAGTGTAAGACTGTTGTTTAAAGGCTGGCAGGAGGGTGTAGGACTATTCTTTAAAGGCTGGCAGGCAGAGTATAGGACTATTGTTTAAAGGCTGGCAGGCAGAGTGTAGGACTGTTATTTAAAGGCCGGCAGGAGGGTGTAGGACTATTGTTTAAAGGCTGGCGGGCAGAGTGTAGGACTGTTGTTTAAAGGCTGACAGGTAAGGTGTAGGACTGTTGTTTAAAGGCCGGCAGGTAGGGTGTAGGACTGTAGTTTAAAGGCCGGCAGGCAGGGTGTATGACTGTTGTTTAAAGGCTGGCAGGTAAGGTGTAGGACTGTTGTTTAAAGGCCGGCAGGTAGGTTTAGGACTGTTGTTTAAAGGCCGGCAGGTAGGGTGTAGGACTGTTGTTTAAAGGCCGGCAGGTAGGGTGTAGGACTGTTGTTTAAAGGCCGGCAGGTAGGGTGTAGGACTGTGGTTTAAAGGCCGGGAGGTAGGGTGTAGGACTATTGTTTAAAGGCTGGCAGGTAAGGCGTAGGACTGTTGTTTAAAGGCCGGCAGGTAGGTTTATGACTTTTGTTTAAAGGCCGGGAGGTAGGGTGTAGGACTGTTGTTTAAAGGCCGGCAGGTAGGGTGTAGGACTGTTGTTTAAAGGCCGGCAGGTAGGGTGTAGGACTGTGGTTTAAAGGCCGGCAGGTAGGGTGTAGGACTATTGTTTAAAGGCTGGCAGGTAAGGTGTAGGACTGTTGTTTAAAGGCTGGCAGACAGGGTGTAGAACTGTTGTTTAAAGGCTGGGAGGTAGGTTTAGGACTGTTGCTTAAAGGCTGGCAGGCAGGGTTTAGGACTTTAGTTTAAAGACCGGCAGGTAAGGTGTAGGACTGTTGTTTAAAGGCTGGCAGGTAGGTTGAAGGACTGTTGTTTAAAGGCTGGCAGGCAGGGTGTAGGACTTAAGTTTAAAGACCGGCAGGTAGGTTGTAGGACTGTTGTTTAAAGGCTGGCAGGTAGGGTGTAGGACTGTTGTTTAAAGGCTGGCAGGTAGGTTGTAGGACTGTTGTTTAAAGGCTGGCAGGTAAGGTGTAGGACTTTAGTTTAAAGATCGGCAGGTAAGGTGTAGGACTGTTGTTTAAAGGCTGGCAGGCAGGATGTAGGACTTTAGTTTAAAGACCGGCAGTTAAGGTGTAGGACTGTTGTTTAAAGGCCGGCAGGCAGGGTGTAGGACTTTAGTTTAAAGACCGGCAGGTAAGGTGTAGGACTGTTGTTTAAAGGCTGGCAGGTAGGTTGTAGGACTGTTGTTTAAAGGCCGGCAGGTAGGTGTAGGACTGTTGTTTAAAGGTTAAACAAATCTGTCCCCGAATATGAGAATATATTTTAACGCCAAGTTCATATGTCAGGGCAACAAAGATCACAAACTGAATTGATATGATTACATTTGTTCGGTCATGTCGTGTTCAACTGCTTTGCGCTCGTCAATGTTTTCAATAGGGAAATCGTGAGCTGTGCATTAAATGCATGCTCAGGGGTGCTCCTAGGAAATAAGGTTTGGGACTTCACAAGGGAGGCAATCACCACCACCACTCCAAGGAGGCAGCATGATGCCATTCACCAGAAACTAAACTTGGTTAAGGTTCCTAGAGCGTTTGTAAGAACTGTATAAGAATAGATTACATTTTGTTCAAGTTTTGAATTTAAGATCACTTTCAAAAAAATCAAATTATTTTGTATTTATAACAGTATTATACGTTAATATGTTGTGTAAGGTACGTTTGAGACAGATGAATATTGTCTACGTGTCCCCAATGATCGGTCGGTCACTCGTCCACTCACTTATTGCATAGTTTAGTCTCCAAACAACACGTTGCTAGATGGTGCCTTTAATGCTGAACATTGTAAGCAACACATCTGATACAAATAAAAAATTCGGTTGAAAAATAGTTTGGTTTAGAGAGTGACGACGAACTCCTAAAGCCTCTAACTAAATGACTTGGAGTCATCCTGGCATCGCGTTTATTTCACTGTAAACAAACAAATATATGTATATTTTTTTTTTAAATTGAAGATAAAAAAAACCTAACAACTGAATTAAATATATTGCATTATATTTTTACCTCAATCTAAAACCTATTTTAAATCATCATTTTATTTGTATAAATTTAATCTCTCTGAACTGTTGCTTCCTTACACCCCCACAAGACAACTACGCTCTTCAATTGACAATAGAACCCTCTCAATCCCAAGAACCAAAACTAAGACCATCGGTGAACGCTCCTTCTACTTCCATGCGCCCACTATCTGGAACCAGCTCCCCTTCCACATCCGTCATTGTGAAACCCCGTCCACTATCAAAAAGTCCCTAAAAACCTATCTGTTTAGGTCCGCCTTATGACCTGTGATGCACCCTCCTTACCCTGCCTCATTTTCTGTCTCGGGTTGATCCTGTAGTATAGGCCAAAACGTGCCAAAGTGTACGCGTTTCTATAGCCATTTTAATGTTTAAGCTACTTTTTCTATAGCTATTTTTATTGTAGTTACTATTCTAGTGTCTCTGGTTTTTTTTCATTTTTCTTTTACTTTAACAGTTTAAATAGTTCACATATTTTTTAATAATTGTAAAGCGCTTAGAGCTGGAAGGTAAGCGATATAAACAAAAATGCCTAAATAAATAAATAATAATCAATGCTAATTTTGGAAAATTTCCGTAATTTGTAGCTGGTTACAGCTGGTTCTGAATATATATACATAATGAACCATTGGATGGGGTCATAGATCCTAGGCTATCCTCTCTTCCATTAACGCGTCCCTGATACTATCACACGTGCTTCTATGCATTGATATCAAATGAAACACCAAAAAAAGACATAGTAATCTGACGATTGTCTTATCCCTATTGGCTGTAGGTCGTCACGTGGCTGACGACGCTCTTACACTGACACATTTAAAATAACTGCATTAGCGTAGTACCTACAGAAGATGATTAATCATCGAACAATAATAGAGTACAAATAAGTTGAAATTCAAAACAACACTTGGTTCCATTATGAGCCCTTCCTGCAGCACACGCCAGAGTCTGGATTACCAGGCAATGGCCATCAAGAGACAAGTGCCCCCACATTGAGCCAGTCGCTATCACGCGTCTATAGATTGTCGTGAGGCGTGACTGGGTGGAGGGCCGTCGACAGTGGGTGAACCCAACAACGGGTAGCGACGGGCTTTGAGTGGACCGGATCAATATCCACTCTCGTCGCCACACGGAGCTAATGCACACGCACACGATTCTATGGATACTTCAAGTGCAGGGTCTCAAATGACGACTTAAACTCCACTTTGCTGAATCATCATTTGGCGAGTTTTGTCACCTGTGGTCATTTGAGATCAATTCAGAATTCAAATAATAATACAACTGTCGTTATTAGTTAAGTTATGCAAGCTTGTTGAATGTGAGACACGCAGGTCATTTAGGTTAGCAGTGACGTGTGGAGAAAGGGAGCGTTAGATTTAGGGGCCGATTATTTGAGAA